CTGCAATAGGGAGTTCTCAAAAATTATTAATTGTATGGTTCCAACAAATTATAACAGAAGACTCCCTCAGAACTGATTTCATCATTTATATTTCTTTTTGAAATAGTCTCCACATTTAAAACATCCTAGGGAGTTTTTGAGATTTTTATTAATGTATTATTTTTACTTACTTTTGGCAAGCATTCCCTCAGAGCAAGACAATATGATAGCATCCTGGTATATTGGCATACTGCATTTACATATAAGAATGAAAACAGATGAAACATTCAAGTCTAACATTTCATCTTAGGTATAAGTCAAAATTCTTTACTTGAAAAATTTTGATGAGTGCTATTATGTACTTCTAAGTAGTGAAAATATCTGAGATATATGCAAATGTTCTCACACATACTCCCTGAAACTTACTCTCCTTACTAAATTTATTTTTGAATTTTCGAATAATTGAGTTTTGCAATTAAACTGAATTACTCAAGTTTCTTTGATGAGGTCATCACATTTAATAGTGTAATATGTCATGTTTAACTAAAAGTACTTTATTTCCTCTGTTTATAAATCTTGTTGCAGTACCATATTTCCAGACATGATATTTGTTCATTCAGCAAATAATGATTGAGGACCACAGATTGTGGATATTTATAAAACAATGGCAACACCACTCCTCACAGATATAATGAGGCTGGGAATGTAGACTAGTGACAGAATTCTTACCTTGCAAACACAAAGCCTGGAGTTCAATCCAGAAGGAGAAGGAGAAGGAGGAGAAGAAGAATCCATTACAATAAAATTTGGGAAGTTATTCTAAGTTTAGCTTTTATAGGGTCTTCTGATAGTACAACTCTATTATTTTACTAGTTAAAGAAAAGGAACCTAGTTTGGTGTAGTGGAGTAGGTGTCTAGGCCTAACTACCTTGGTAGCTGAAGGAGAGGATCACTAGAGCCAAGGAGTTCAGGGCCATCCTAAGGAACAAAGGGAGAATGAGTCTTCTTTTAAAACAAAAGGAACCTAGAATTCAAAAATTTTAAATGACTTTTCCAAGAAGACAGTGACAAATCTAAATCCAGAACATCAGAGGTGCAAAAATTCTCAATAAAATTCTGGTAAATTGCTTTCAAAAACATATTAAAAAGAGTGCATCATGATTAAGTGGGGTTCATCCCAGGGGTACAAGTTTGGTTCAACATAAGAAAATCAATAAATGTAATTCATCACTTCAATAGACTTAAAGATAAAAGTCATATGATCATTTAAATAGATGCAGAAAAAGCATTTGATAAAATACAACACCCTCTCATGTTCAGAACACTAGAAAAACTATCTATGCTAAGCCCATGGCCAGACAACATTATTCTAAATGGAGATAAATTGGAAAATTGGAGGCATTCCCTCTAAGAACTGGAACAAGATAGGGAAGCCCTCTCTCACCACTCCTATTCAACATAGTCCTTGAAATTCTAGGCAAGAGAAATTAGACAGAGAAAAGAAATTAAGGGAATTCAAGTAGGAAAAGAAAAACTCAAAACTATCACTATTTGCTGAGGACACGATTCTATCATAGAGGATACAAGAAACTCCACCAGAAAACATCTAGAATTAATAAATGAATTCAGCAAAGTAGCATGATATAAAGTCAACACCCATAAATCAAACACATTTCTATGTATCAGTGATGAACCTTCAGAAAGAGAAGTTAGGAAAACTCCCCCATTCACAATAGCCTCAAAATGAATAAATTAATTAAATACTGGAGAATCAATCTAACTAAAGAGGTGAAAAACCTATACAATGAAAATTAAAGAGCATTAAAGAAAGTCATTGGAGAAGACCGTAGAAGATGGAATATCAGAATACTGAATGGTACGCAGTGATACTACTAGCACATTCCAAGACTCCTGAGTATGCACTAACAAGTATGTTGCACATCACAAATTCTAAATAAATAATATAGTAACTTAAAATTTCTGGGCTTACTATATAATTTTTACTCAAGGAAAGGATTTTTTCTAGACCTAACTATGGAAATGTCACAGTTTGAATACTCCATGAACACACAATGGGGCCAATAATTCTCAATAAGAATTTAATTTAGCACATTTTGAAAAATAACTTCCCCAAACCATAATTGTGAAAAATCTACAAATTTTTATGTCAACATATATTAAAATTAATTGTCATACTTTTAAATTAATATCTAAACCTAGCATAATAAGGACACATCTTTGGGATGTCTTTCCCTAGCACACACAAAAAGGAATAATTTTCATGGAGAATTAAATCACTATCATATTGTCAATTATCACCTTGCACTAGCTAGTCTAAACATGTTAAAGATAAAATAGTCCTCCTTCAAAATAGTTTTCATAATTTAAAGTTCTAAACAATTATTGGTAAGCTCTTATTAAACTTCAAATTAGTATATAAGTATTTCTTATTCTTTCATAAACATTGCATTATGTTTGAAAATTAGATGGGAAAATTCCCATAATAATGTTGAACCCCCAGTACATGGGGGCTCAGATACACTTGCATGTTTGGCAATAGGAAGTCAAGACTTATTTTTCATGGCTGCTTTTTTGTTTGTTGTTGTTTTGTTTGTTTCTTCTTTTTTGTTCCATGGATTGAACCCAGGAGCACTTAATCACTGAGCCACATTCTCAGCCCTTTTTATTTTTAATTTTTTTCTGTCTTGAGACAGGGTCTTGCTAAGTTGCATGAGGCCTCACTAAATTGCTGAAGATGGCTTTGAACTTGCAATAGTCCTGCCTCAGCCTCCTGAACTACTGGGATTACCAGTATGTACTGCCATGCCTAGTATTTTTTTTTTTCCTAAAGTGACTGTGCAATCACTTTTGAATCCTGAAGACATCTGTAGTATTACATGAATTAGTGTCTTGAAATTTTCTCAGGTCCATTTCATACTACTTTGAGCCATAATGAATTTCAGAAGATTTAATATTAATTTTTTGGTGAGGTCAATATGGTGCAATTTTTGGACCTCCCAGGCACTTGAAAGTTACTATAAAAGACCCTAAAGGAGCAAAGATGTGGATAATATTTTAAATTTGGAGATTCATTATAAAATGATATTTTGATAAGTATTTGAGCAACATTCTATTCTGCATATCTGCTGGTTCAAGTGAAAGAAACTTTTCCAAATTAAAAGTAATAGAATTATGAGTGAAGATATACCAAAAAAAGGCTAAAATACTTACATAAACATACAATAATTTATTTTTAAAAAGCCATCAAAAACTTGTAGAAGCTAGAGCTTAAAATATGTTATTTACTTCTTGTGATAGGCTAATGAGTATGTTTTTTCCTTTTTCTTTCAAAAACACACTGATGAAATTAAAATATGCTGAACATTATATTTTGGTTTTGTACAATGAGTTTCTTGTTGATGCTGTAACAAATTAACCATAAACTTAGTTGCTTAAAACAAAACACATTTTATCATTTCACAGTTATGAAGAAATCTTAAAATTGATGTCTCTGTAGGGCTACGTTTTTTCTATGTCATCTGGGAAAAAAAAATCTGCTTCCTTGCCTTTTCCAAATTCTAAAGGTCAACTGCATTCTTGACTTATGGCACCCTGTTCAAGGCCAACAGTAGGCATTTTATCTTTCTATTATATTTCTTCTGCCTCTCTTCTTTATCTCTTCTTCTTTTCTGTTTTTTTTTAGTTGTTGATGGATATTTATTTATTTATTTATTTTTATGTGGTACTGAGGATGGAACCCAGTACCTCACACATGCTAGGCAAGCACTCTACCACTGTGCTGCAACCCCAGCCCTCTCTTCTTTTATAATCTCATTTAACTGAGACTCTACACTCCTGCCTACCTCTTATAAGGAATCTTGTGATTACATTGCACCTAACTGGCTAATCAGGATGATCTCTTAATTTCTAAATCCTTAATTCAATAACAGCTACAGAGTTCTTTTACCATTTAAGTAATATGTCCATAGGGTCTGGGGATGAGAACATGGACATCTTTGGGCAACCATTATTCTGCCTCACATGGATACATGTACTGTAATATTGTATTTATTTACTTATTTATTTATAACAAAATATATGCTCATATATTTTATTTTGGTAGGAAAAACATATATGTAGACAGAGATTTATATATGTAAATATTTATATATGTTTGCAAATATATATTTGTATATGAAATTTAATTTTTTTTAATGAATCAGGATCTTGCCTGGGCTGTTCTTGAACTTGTGGACTCAAAACAATTCTCCTATCTCAGTCTCCTGAGTAGTTCACACATCACAGGCATGTGCCACCATACCTGACTTAAAAATTTTTATTCTTTTATTTCATTTTATTATTATGAATGAAAAATACTTCATCATGTGTAACAGGGGATGTTAAAACAATTATCTTTGATGTTAAACATTCTTGGTATTTCACTGATAAAAAAAATCTGCTGGAAAAATGAGAAATTATACTCCATTTATGTATAATATATCAAAGTGCATAAAAGTATTGTACTGTTATGTATAACTAATTAGAACAAATTTTTTTTTAAAAAATCTGCTATTTGAACCTTCTTTTAAGTGAAACAACGTAGTAATTCATAGGAACCATTTTTGTCTTATTCTTTTAGTTAACTCTAAGTAAAATAATGGTCATAAGCCTCGATTTTGAAAGAAATTGTTTCAAAAACCTTGTTTGATTCATAAAACTTTTTCAAAAATGCAAGATTGAGAACAAAAGGTTCTTTAGGAGCAAGGTGTGGCTACTATAACAATGTTACAGTAATAATGGCTATAGAGCATTTGATAGGATTTATTTTTCTTATTTACTTACCATTTTGAAGCATAGATCCAAATTGTGATGCTACTTTTATGCAGTAAAAAAACTGACAAGACACAATCAGTAAAAACAAAATTCTTCATTGCATAAGCGGAGGCCCTATTCTCCCTCACCCCCTTTTCCTAGCAGCTAAGATTAATGAAGAAAAATCAAGTGGTTGACATACAACCTACCCATGGGAGTGCCAACACCATAACCTTTGGAGTCTATGAGGCCTCCAATCTGTGTCAGGTTACAATTCCGCTGGGTAACAAACTCAATGGTTGTTGACTCCATTAGGAAAGCATAGTCAGAGGTCAGAACTCGCTGGATCCCTTCTTCATTGCTCTTCACCAGAACAGACTGCCTCCTGCTACTCATGAAGGCCCACATTTTGTCATATGTGGAGATTTTTGATTTCTGGGGGAAAATAAAATGTACTTCAATGATAAGAAAGATATCTCTTAGTTTTCATGTGATCTTACAATATTCAGACACAGTGACTACATTTAATTTACTCATACCACCCAATTATTATATTAACACTCACAGAAATAGCTAACATCTAATAAAATCAAAATAAATATTAAAAGGTTTCTCATAGAAATTCCTCATCACATTTCCAGGTATAATAAGTATTCCTTTAACAAACACGTTGAAAATGTCTTGCTATTTTAAAAATTCAAGTTAGCAAATCATAAGTAACAAATCAAAGAAAAAAAAGATCAATAAGTATATTTTATGCTTCCATATTTCATAAGTAACTTATGTGTGTCATTTTATTTTTCAACATTATTATAACATCAAATTTAGAAGAGACAAAAACTGGACATGAATTGACAGACTGCAAGAATTTTTGTTTTTCACCAATCTGCTTTAGTATAACACAGATGTCACATTGACCTCCAAGGATACACAAAGGTATAGATTGAAGAGACAAGGAGAATTTCTTAGAAATAAGGTTACAAATAAGGATGACTCCATTTCCACTGAGACATAATCTGGCCACCACAGAATCTCTTTTATTCTGCCTAAAAACAAACAAAAATCTATCACTCAGGCCTACTAACTAACTAAAAATCCCTGGACCAATAAAATTGAATAGATTTATAACCAACTGAAAATTGTCAGTAGGGCTTCGCTGGAATTTCATTATTAATGGAAAGAAATGAGTTTTGTTCAGAAGCTCTAGTAAAGCATAAACATGAAAAAGGTTAGCATCTGCTTATTGAAAGTTCAACTCTGAAAATCTATCCTTATTCAATTCTTATACAAATACAAAAATAAAATACTACTGATGTTATAAACACCAAGGAGGTGTTCATCACACTGGTTGCATTGTCCATAAAAATGTCAAGCCTTTTTTGAACAAATAGATATGCAATTATTTTCAGAGTTCAAGTGTGCTTTCATTTCTATGTGTGGAAAGTCATCAAAGTTATTTTAGCACTATAACCATGAAAAGGAAGGCACACAACAATACTAAAAAAAAAAAATCATGCCACTATTTCAGTGATGAGATCAGAAGAAACCACTCATAATTTATTGGAAAAAAAATAAAGCTACAACAAGTATTTTATAAAAAAAATTTTAAAAAGACAGCATTAGGACTAAAAGAGGATTAGAAAAGAAAATATTTGCTCTTTATTGAACTCTAAAACAGGCTAAAAATGAATGGCTTAACATCTGAAAGGATGCAGTTAAAGCCCCTGGCATAAGATTGACAAGAATCCATGTTTGAGAAACAATGCTCTTGTGTTGCTTCAAGGAAAATAATGAGATATTGAGAATAGAAATGGTAAATATGAATAATATTAAGGTTATGATGAAATTCTTATTTAGATCATTGTGATCAATAATGAGATTTTCAGCTTCATTTGTCTTTTCAAATAGGTATCAGAATGAAGATGATGAATATGGCTAGCACAAGTTCATTTTCTTTAGACAATAAAGTATTTTTCTCCTAATATTTTGGATTGAGTGAGGTCTAAAGGCAAAAATAAAATAAAAATTAGAGCTCTGCACATTGAAAGGGTAATATATAAAGAAATAAAATGGACACAGTTTTCTATTTAGTGACTGATAGGAGATAAACAAAATTCTACAAATTATATTACACAAAAATTTTATAATTAAAGATTCACATTCATTATTTGACAATTTTTAAAGTAACATTTTCAAAGGATAATGATAGTTTGATATCATAACATGGTATCCCTGAAACCAAAATCAGGTAAAAGTTTAAGAAAGCATATAAGTTATTTTTAACATATATTGCCTACAAAATTGCCTACTTTATCTCCTTTGTTTTGGTTATAAGAACATCAGCAACAAATGCAATTTGTTATTTTATTTTCATTTTATGGTATACTTAATCCATTGATAATATCTTTGAAATAACGTGGAAGACTAGCATTTTCATTCCAAATAAAAGGGAAACATAGTGATTACAATGTCACTAATCATCAAATAGCATCAGAAGCACCGTATTGCCTAAACACCATTTACACAACATAAACAATTTAAAGAAGGTATTTAAATTATATATGGCTACATGAATGCATTCATTCTGAAATTTTGGTAGTCATGTGGAAAATACATCCAAACTTTTTAGTTCAAATGAATACCAACAAACTAGTTTCAAGTTTTTTTTTATTTTTGAAACATATAATCTAAAATATTAAAATTTCATTTGCAAAATAACACTTTTACAAATCTTTTTTTTTTCATTTAAAATTATTAAAATATTTTACTAGAGAGATTTTTTTTCACTTCTCTGAGCATTTCCCAGAAAGCACTATCTATACTTGTTCTTAAACTAGTAATTTCTACTTTCCATTGTTACTTCATCATCTCTTATTAATTGTTTATTTTCAAGGATCTATTGTCTGTAAATTTTTTTGTAGTTTCTTTTATCTTCCTTCCTGTCTGAAGAATATATACATATATATATATATTTTTCCTTATTCTTAACATTGCCAAATAAGTGGATAGAAAAGTCACTCAAATTGGTTTGTTTCTCCTAATAAAAATAAAGAGGCAATTTAAGAAATCTGATGATCTTCTGGTCACAAGCTAGACACTGAGTATGTAGAGGTATCCTTCTAACATGATGTCTCTGTGGTTTGTTCACTGGTTCAACTATAGTTTTTAATTTAACCCATTTACTTATTTTAATTGCCCAACCCTAGCTATAAAACACAACTCTGTGCAGAAATAACATAGAGGATAGGATTACAAGCAGCCACTTCCTTTGCAGACTGGGATGTGCTTGTGTGTGTACATGCATGTTGTACATGTGTGCCAGGTAACTGCTTTAGAACTCTATGAGTGGGTTCAAGATACTAGAAAGAGGAAGTATTAGAATTTCAAGGATGGCTGTTTTCTGACTTGTATTATTCTACAGGTTGTGTTAAATGAAATAAACACTTCCAGTTTTGTATCACATAACCTCTCTTGCACAAAGATTAATCATATTTGTATGATCCACAATCATCTTCCCCAGACATTTTATATGAATCAAAGAAATATTCTGAAATTCAGATCTATTAAGTTATTTGTCTGTTACCTATTTTCACAGAAACTTGGAAAAGAGAACTAATTCTTAACATCTTTCATCAATTCTACTTCTATTACTTTTAATAATAAAAGGTTTACAGTGAATCATAGGGTAATGAACAAAAGTCTGCATAGCATGAATTTTACTGAAAACCTTACATTTTTTTCTAAGGCAGTATTTTTTTTATTAATTCACATCAATTGTATAGAATCATGAGTTTCCTTGTGGTATGTTTATGCCTGCATATAACATTTTATCATTTCTGTTACCTCAATTAATCCCCTTAAGGTCCCCTCACTCCTCCTCCTGACACCAGTCCTCTTCTCTAATAGTTTCCCTTCACCTATCTTGTCTTTTCTCCAGTTTCCACATATGAGAGAAAACAAATGATACTTGTTTTACTGAATCTAACTTATTTCTTTTAACATGATGAACTCTAATTCTTTACATTTAAAGATGACTTATAAGATACTATATATATATATATACCAAATATAAAGTTTAGAGTGTTTTATTCTCTATAAAGCTGACTGCTCATAAATAGTTGATTACTTTCACTTATGTAACAGTTAACATAAATTCAGAGGAGAGTAGGGCTGAATCAGAAGTAATGATTACTACTTCTACAGCTCCTATTAAATTAATATATGCTTTTATGCAAGCTACTTAATCTCTCCAATTCCAAGTCATATAGTACTCAAATGATACCTGCCAGACTCACAGGGTAATTTTGAAGATTAAATAACACAACATATGTAAACATACTGTGCAGCAGTAAAGTGTTTCGCAAATTTAAATATTTTTATAACAAGAATATAATACTGACAAATCTTTTTGTATTGTTTGTCTAAAAAAATTGCAAAGGGTCTCACGGTTAGACTTCAATGGAGAATGCCAAGGCGCAGGTTCATATCCTGGTTGGGGAACACTTGTTTTTTACTAGTAAAAACATTTAAAAAAAAAATTACTAGCAACTCTGACAAAGGGTAAATACATACACTCTCTTATGGCACAAAACTAAGATGAAACAGATTAGGAAAAGTTGTAATAGAAATATAATTTAGACAACTATAATGTAAGTAGATGAAATGTTATTGACCAACCAACTTTTAGAATTCAGTATCTACCCCCAACACAAAGTTTCAAAGATTGGTCAGAATGAACATGAATCAAACAGAAGTAGACTTTACTGGAAAGACACTTTAAAACAGTTCATGCATTAGAGCCTGTTTATGAGTAGCATGGTGACTGTGCCATCCTACAAGCAAGAAGTCCAGAGATCCAGAATATACTGGACACAGTTGAGCCAGAGGAGGCCATATTGAAACCAGAAATAATAAATTGAAATCTTAAATGGTATTAGACCATTGAGGCCTGTCTTGGGCCCTAGAGTTTCTCCAGAAGAATAATAGGCATTTTTCAGGCAAAATAGAACAGCTCTAGATATGAAGTATTATCAATAATAATAATACTGACTATAATAGAACTTGCCACCAGATTATTCTAAATTATTTATAAATACTAAATCATTTATATTTTATAAGAATTCTATTGAGTAGACATTTTTGCCTCATTTTACAAATGAAAAAATCAAAACACAAAGATGCCAATGATTTGCCAAAACCCACATTCTTACTTAGTGGCCAAACCATAATTCAAACAGGGTAATGGTAGCTACAGGGTGCATATTCTTGAATAGTGCACTACCTTACTCTACCAAAACACACATACAGTGGGTTTCACAAGTGAAAGACCCACTACATACCTCAGAATACAGCTCAGTCTCAGTTTTTCAGTCTTGAGTAAAAACCCAGGTTTGCAGTTACCCTTTTCAAATCTATACAATGGGATCAAATAGCTA